TGAGAGCCAGCGTGTAAGCTGTTCTTTAGATGGCCATCTGAAAACTCATCAAATAGCAAGGTAGGAAGAACAAAATCACCTCCAAAACTTTCGAATTGCATTGATCTGTGGCATAAAGCCCTCACCACAGGAAGAGAAATGATAGATTTGAGACTCACAGGAGGATTCGTTTAAAGTGCTTTGTGTGTGTGTTTTTTTTTTAAATTTATGTATGGAATTGCCCGGGAGTAGTAAATAGACTTTATTTGCTATATTTCCAGGAAGATAAAATTATCAGGACTGTCTATGTATTTCAAAGCCAGGGAAAACAAAAACAGCTTTGAAGCCTCTCCTCTTGGATTTTTTAGTCCTAATCTTCTAAGAGATGGTCTTGATAATGTTTATTCTTTTCTTCTTTCTAAAACAGTTGAAAGTCCTATTTTTCTCAGTTAAAATAGCAATCTGATTTTTAATTAGGTCAGGTAAAATACGCACTGAACACCACAGATTATTTAAGTGATTGCAAAGGGCAGGAAAAATTTCTGAACAGTGTCACTCCCCTTTTCCCCAAACATCCCTCCTCCTCCTCTCCTAACCTGGGATGCTCCCACCAGCAGTGTGCCCCGCTCTTTGGAGGTGGGCTTCTCATTTGGATTCATACACCACCTGGGCAAGTTTTTCTGCTGTATTTTCCCAATTTAACTGAAGAGATAAGCCCTTTCCATCTGCTTGGAGATAATTTGTAGAGTTTTGTTAAGATTGGTGGGCATGGGAAAGGGAATTCAGACTCTGCATTGTGAACTCCAGCAAAACACTGAGGGTCAGGGCTTTATTTCAGATTTCATGTATGCAGAAACAAGAGTTTCTCATAAGACTTCACCCTGTGAATCTCTGCATAGCCTGGAGCATGGGTTAGCAAGCTTTTCCTATAAAGGCCAGATAAGTAAATATTATAGGCTTTGGGGGACATTTGTTCTCTGTTGCTACTATTCAACTCTGCACAAAAGCAGCTATAAATGGGGACTTCCCTGGTGGTCCAGTGGCTAAGACTCCGCGCTCCCAAAGCAGGGGGCCTGAGCTCAATCCCTGGTCAGGGAACTAGATCCCACATGTTGAAACTAGGAGTTCCTGTGCAACTAAAAAAAAAATTCTGAATGCTACAACCAATCAGTGGCTCAGTGGTTAAGACTCAGCCTGCTAATGAGGAGACTCAGGTTTGACCCCTGGGTGTGGAAGATCCCCTGGAGAAGGAAATGGTAACCCACTCCAGTATTCTTGCCTGGGAAATCCCATGGATAGAGGAGCCTGGCAGGCTACAGTCCAAGGGGTCGAAAAGAGTCGGACATGGCTTAGCAACTGAACAACAGCATGCTGCAACTAAAGATTTTACAAAGGTAGAAGATCCCACGTGCCACAAGTAAGACCTGGTGCAGCCAAATAAGCAAATAAATATTTTTCTTAAAGAAGCAGCTATAAGTAACATGGGACCAAATAGGCATGATCATGTCCAATAAAACTTTATTTTCAAAGGCACACTGTGAGTGTTGGACCCCTGGCTTAAAACATTTCCCAAGGAGAGGGAGAGCCCTGAGCAATGATGGGGGCCAAGGTCATAGTTTTTTGAGTGATGGCACCCTGCCTGCTTTTATAAGGAGGTGGGGAGCCCAGCAGTGGCTTTGAGCCTTTTAGGTAAGTCCACTGCACCACTCGAACTGTGACGAGGCCACACCTTTGCATGATGGAAAGCTGGTGAGCATTAAAGCATATAGACCCTCAAATTAGTGAGCCTTCCAGCTGCCCTTACTAAAGCCTTATTAATGGCCAACCTCAGTCATGGTGATTATCTTTCCCTGAGTCCAGAAGTTCAATTCTTTGTCCTCTTCTCCATCCTTTCAACTAGGACTAGCTTCCTGAGACACAGTCTAATCCCAGAGGTCTTGGGTGAACAAAGGTCAATGAAGAAAGTCCAGTCATGTCTAATTGTGGCATTCAAGGCACTTCGTAGGCTGACTTCTCCATTAGGCATGGCAAGTATGGTGCCTGGGGCTCATGATACTCATAAACATCCATGAACATATTTAATTTTAATTTTTTATTTATTTTTTATTTTTTTAATTTTAATTTTTTTAGAGTGGAAGAAAAATGAGTGTGATAATGAGTGTATAATAATGAATCCAGCCTGAATTATGCTGTGCTATGCTTCATTGTCCAGTCGTGTCCGACTCTTTGAGACCCCATGGACTTCAGCCCACCAGTCCCCTCTGTTCATGGGGATTCTCCAGGTAAGAATACCTGAGAGGATTACCATACCCTCCCCCAAAGGATCTTCCCAACCCAGGGATCAAACCCAGGTCTCCTGCTAACTCCAGATAAATTCTTTACTATCTGAGCCAAAAAGGAAGCCCAAGAATCCTGGAGTAGGTAGCCTATCCCTTCTCCAGGGGATCTTCCCGACCCAGGAATTGAACTGGAGTCTCCTGTATGGAAGGCAGGTTCTTTACCAGCTGAGCTACCAGGGAAGCCCAGCCTGAATTATATTCATCTTTATACCCACATAGTCATAAATGTAATTTAAAAAGTTTTTTCTGAGATGAACAGAACAGTGAAGGCAAAATACCAGGTGCTCTTTCTAAGGATTGCCATGTAAATAAAACACAGAACACCCAGTTAAATTTGAAGTTCAGATAAGAAATGAATAATCTTTAGTGTATACATGCATGCATGCTAAGTCACTTCAGCAGTTGTATCTGACTCTTTGTGACCCTGTGAACTGTAGCCTGCTGGTCTCCTCTGTCCATGGGATTCTCCAGGCAAGAATACTAGAGTATGTTGTCATGCCTTCTTTCAGGGGACTGAAGCCACATCTCTTAAGTCTCCTGCAGGTTCTTTACCACTAGCACCACCCTGGAAGTCCAATTTTCAGTGTAAGTATATCCCAAACATTGCATGGGGTATGCTTATTCTAAAAAGTGATTTGGTTTTTTAGTCTGAAATTCACTTTAACTGAGCATCCTGTTTATCTGAAATTCAAACTTTTACTTGCTAAATCTGGCAATGCTATGGGAAAGCCAGCCGAGGGCCCGGCTGGCACCAATTACAGTTGCAGCCTTCTCGCCCATACTCCTGAACCTAAATGTCTTAGGCTAGGCTCCCAGGAGGCAGATCTTAAGACGAAGATTCATGTGCAAGTAATTTATTTAAAGAAGTGCTCCCAGGGGAGATTAATAGGCGACTGGGGGGAACAAGGCCGGGCAGGAGAGGGGTCCAACCAGGAAGAAGACTCAGGCAAGCCCCTGCAGAGGGTGCTTCAGCCTGACCCCACAGGGGCAGGTAAGTTTCGCCTCAGAAATATGCCAAAGGATACCTGGGTGGTGCGCTGACATTGTCATCTATATGGTTGGCCAGAAACAGAGATCAGCCCAAGTTCAAAACTCAGGAAGAAAAATCGCGCTGGCCATCATTTTCATTAACACACAGAAGCCATGCAAAGAATGGTGAGATCGAGCAGCCATGATGGTGTGACGGATGCAGCTGCCCCCTGCCCTCCTGCACCCCGCTGAGGTGCCTCCCCCTCACGGTCGGTGATCCCTGTGGTCTGCATGAAGGGAGGCATGTGGTATCCAAGGAAGAGACTTGTTATCTTTTACAGTGTTTGCAGGGGTGGGGGGCAGGCAAGGGAGGTCTGCACCTCATGGAGGTGGCCTGGACCTTACAGAAGTATCATCATGTTAGAACTTTATCATAAAAATATTTTCTCTCTTGACCACCTTCCTATCTCTGAACCCTTGCTGCACCATCAGGCGTGGTTAATATTAAGTTCTCTGGTTTGACCAATGCCTCATGTAACCAGCATGCCCCATGCCCTACTCCCAAGACGTGATATATATAGACAAGGGCATACTCCTCAGCTGGGGCTTCCCAGGTGGCACTAGTGGTAAAGAACCTGCCTGCCAATGCAGGAGACTTAAGAGACGCGGGTTCCATCCCTGTGTGAGAAGATCCCCTGGAGGAGCCATGGCAACCCACTCCAGTATTCTTGCCTGGAGAATCCCCATGGACAGAGGAGCCTGGCGGACTACAGTTCATAAGGTTCCAAAGAGTTGGACACTTAAGCGTTGGAATTGGACACTGAAGTGTGTGCTAAGTCTAGCACACACACAAGCACACACTCCTCAGTCATAAAAGAAGAATGAAATAGTGCCATTTGAGCAACATGGTTGGACCGGAAGATTATCATACTAAGTGAAATGTCAGACAGGGAAAGACAAATATCACATGCTATCACTTATATGTGGCATCTAAAATATGACACAAATGAATTTATCTATGAAACAGAAACAGACTCGCAGACATAGAGAACAGACTTGTGGTTGCCAAGAGGGGTGGTGGGGGAGGGATAAACTGGGAGGCTGGGATTAGCAGATGCAAACTGATATGTAAAATGGAAAAGCAACAAGCTCCTGCGATATAGCACAGGGAACCATATTCAATATTCTGTGATAAACCACAGTGGAAAAGAATATGGAAAAGAATGCAAGTGGATGTATAACTGATCACTTTGCTGTGCAACTAGAAATTAACAAAAGACTGTAGATTAACTGTACTTCAATAAAATTTAAAACAAGAAGCAGAGGCACGAAAATGCAAATGGGAAAATGCTAACCTGAGTTCTACATCAGAGCCCATTGAGCTGCCTCCTGGTGGAGCAGGGTATCTATTAGGAGCCCCTTCTCCTGAGATGTCTCCAGCCTCTATTCCACCAGATGGAGGCCTTTCCCAGTCCCTGCTAGACCGTCCCATCTGATGATTTGATTTTTCTTTTTTTTTTTTCCGTTTTGTTTCTGCCTGTGTTTCTCCCCCCAGGGAAGCGCTCTCTGCAGGAGAGTCCTTCCTATCTTCCTGGTTTGGTTCTGTCCCTGGGAACATATGGTGCACATGAGAAAGGTTAATCAAACCTGATGATTTGACTTCTACCTGCATTTCCAGGAGCGGGAGCCTGGCCCTCGTCCACATCTACTTACTGGTAGGGGCTTCGCCTTTGCCAACTCCTCGCCGATCCCCCTCTTCTGCTGGCTTCTTGTGGTGCCCTGCATTCCCTGCTCCAAAATGCCCAGACCTGAAGCACCACACACAGCCTGATGTGAAGAACACCATGGAATCCACGGCCGATAGGACCCTGTGGATTTGAATGGTACTCTCCCTCAGAGTTGAATCTATGTTCGACTTCCCTGGTGTCTCAGACAGTAAAGCGTTTGCCTAAAATGCGGGAGACCCGGGTTCAATCCCTGGGCCAGGAAGATCCCCTGGAGAAGGAAATGGCAACCCACTCCAGTATTCTTGCCTGGGAAATCCCACGGACAGAGGAGCCTGGGGGGGCTACAATCCATGGGGTCGCAAAGAGTCGGACACGACTTCACTTTCACTTTCACCCCCTCAGATCCTCAGGCGCCTGAAGTGTCTGCTGGCTCCACCTCCACTTGGCCCACGGGGGAGCCCTTTCCCACGGCCAGAGGTGCAGGGTGGGAGGAAGGAGAGTGGCCAGACACTGGGGTGGGCAGACCCGGACATGGACTTCGGCCCTGGCACTGACCGTGGAAGGGTGTAACCTTCCACGCCCTTCCAACTCACCCACGGGGGGTTGCTTCATCTTGGTTTCCTCACCTGTTAACGGTAACACCACGGCCTCATAGGAAAGGCAGAACTGAGTGACCTCACTGAACAGATGCACAGAACCGTATCAGCTCTGCTCCCTTCTGTTTTGGGACCAACATGTTCCTAGATTTCTCCCTTTCCTTCTGCTACTGATCCATGAAGCCCAGGGTGCCAAGTGACTCTGGGTCCAATTCTTAGAAGAGCTGTGTGCTTAGTCACTCAGTCGTGTCTGACTCTTTGTGGCCTCCTGGGCTGTAGCCCGCCAGTCCTCTGTCCATGGGATTCTCCAGGCAAGAATACTGGAGTGGGTTGCCATACCCTCCTCCAAGGGATCTTCCCAACCCAGGGATTGAACCTAGGACTCCCGCATTGCAGGTGGATTCTTTACTGTCTGAGCCACCGGGGGAAGCCCAAGAATACTGGAGTGGGTGGCTTACCCCTTCTCCAGGGAATTTTCACCGCCTGGGAATAGAACCCGGAGAAGGAAATGGCAACCCATTCCAGTATTCTTGTGGAAGGAGGAGCCTGGTGGGCTGCTGTCCTTAGGGTCACACAGGGTCAGACATGACTGAAACGACTTAGCATGCATGCATGCACTGGAGAAGGAAATAACAACCCACTCCAGTGTTCTTGCCTGGAGAATCCCAGGGACGGGGGAGCCTGTGCCGTCTCTGAGGTCGCACAGAGTCGGACACGACTGAAGCGACTTAGCAGCAGCAGCAGGAATAGAACCGGGGTCTCCTGCATTGCAGGCACATTCTTCACCAACTGAGCTCCCAGGGATGCCCTAGGCAAAAGAGGCGCCCTCCCAAAGGCCCAGTCCCCTGCACAGTGGGAAAGCAGAGCACGTTAATCAAAGGGACCCCACAGCAGACACAAGGAGCTGAGTAGGGTGCAGACCACAGAGTATATTTTGACCAAACTAAAAAGACTACAGTCAATAAGAAGAGTCATAACAAATTATTCCTCTTGACATGAGTGGACAAAAACGGACCAAGTGAGATAGAGAGTGATGCACAGGAGACCCGGAATTTCACCCTCACGCTTGGTCCTCAATTGCTCAGGCTGCAGGGGGCCTGCCCAAAGAAAAGGTGGCACTCACTTTCTGATCCGTTCAGCCAGCGCATGGCAGGACCCTTCAGGAAGACAGGTGCTCGCTGAGGGTGAAATGTCCGTCGTGTTGTTACAACGGCCCACCTTTGCACCCGCTTCAATTTCTGAGTCTTCCACTTCTTGCCTTTCGCCACACAGAAAATAGAACGACTTGGAGAGATTCAGTGGCAGCTGCCCTCAATCTCCAGTGTAACTCAGATAGTTTCCTCCTGGGCAAAGAAGAAAAAAAATTCCCCAGGTGCACCCTACAAGGTGAATTATCTAGTACTTGTTTGTATATGTCCCTCTGCCCATCACATGTGGAAGGTGGGGAGGAGGAGGTTTAAGATGAGTTCCTCAGTCCCCACGATCCAGCAGGTGAGGCAAACTTGGAGATAAATGCTCCCAGGGTGAGTGCTAAGTGCTGCCAGGAGGGCCGGACAGGGGTCTGTGGGAACCCGGGAAATGAGTGATTGACAGTCATGGCAGAATGCACGCTTGAACTGAGTCTGCAAGATGAATCAGGGCTGGCCCAGATTGACAGGTGGGTCAGAAAACCGTCTAACTGGAGAGATCAATGTGTGCAAAGGCTCAGACACATGGGTTGGCCTGGCTAGTTGGAAAATTTGGTTTGGCTAGAATACAGGGTTTTTGGGAAATAGCAAGAGCTGGAGCTGGAGAGGATGAAGCCTGATTCATTCATTCAACAAATATTTACTGGGCATCTACAGTACACGAGAGACCATGCCAGGGACGCATGAGGCCACTGTGGTCCCTGCCTTCTCTGGGCGTGCCCACCATGGAAACTACACAAGAAAGCACCTGATGCTCTGTCATGAAGTATCTTTGGCTGCAGTGTGAACGAATGTGGTCTTCCCTAGTAGGAGATTAAGCGAAAAGAGTTTGAACAAAGGAATGCTGTGCTCAGGTTGACATCACAGAAACTTGGTTGAAGATGGCTTGGAGAAGGTGTCCCTGGGGACAGGGAACCAGGCAGAAGCTTACTGTGGTAACCCACGAGAGTGTGACAATGGACTGAAGTAGGCAGGGACGGTTTGCCCGATTTGCAAATGACGTGGCTGGACAACCACATCCTGACTCCATAGTGAATATCTCTTTCTATACTGTGGTAAAATACACATAAAATGTACCATTCTAACTATTTTAAAGTGTACAGTAGTAGCATTTAGTACATTCTCAGAGTTGTAAAACTATGACTACTGTCTAGTTCCAGAATATTTTTGTTACTTTAAAAAGAAACCCTGGGGACTTCCCTGGTGGTCCAGTGGCTAAGACCCCATGCTCTCAATGCAGGGGGCCTGGGTTTGATCCCTGGGCAGGGAACTAAGATCCCATATGTCACAGCTAAGATCTGGCACAGCCGAATAAATTCATTAGATAAATAAAAAGAATAAAAAAGGAAAAGAAAATACACTGTATTTATTAAGCAGTCACTCCCAGTAGCTAATCCTTTTTCTGTCTTTTTTTGTTTTGTCTTTTTTAATGTTATTTATTTATTTTTTTTCCAATTATTTTTATTACCCTTTTTCTGTCTTTATGAATGTGCCTATTCTGGATATTTCATATAAATGGAATATATGGCCTTTTGTGTGTGTTCTTTTTCACCTAGCACGCTGTTCTCAAGGTTTATCCATGTTGTAGCATGTCAGTACTTTGTTCCTTTTTATTACTGAATAATATTCCCTTGTGTGGATGTGCCATGTTTTGTAATCCATTCATTTCTTGATGGACATTTAGGTTCTTCTACCTTTTGGCTATTGTGAACAATGCTGGTATGAACTTTCATGCACAAGTTTTTTTTTTTAACTCCTGTTTTCAGTTCTTTTAGGCATATACCAGGGAGTGGAACTACTGAGACTTCTTTTTAACTTAAACTTGTAGCTCCTGGGAAAATCCATTTTTTGAAATATTTTCAGAAAAGTTTTCTGCCATTTCTTAAGGATGATGAATGACAGTGGTATTATTCCTTTCGCTTTGTGATCTTGGTGGAATCAATCTTAACCTTCAACTTTTGCTTAGAACCTGCCTCCTTCTCAGCAAGAAGTGATCTCAGAGGAGTCTGGTTTTTCTGAAGTGGCCATGGAGGCAAATTGGCTTAGACTCCTTGACCTAGAGACATATGGCCAAGTCTCTTGACTAAAACAGAATCCATATTGTCAGTCCTGATTTCCTGTCTAGATTATTCAAGGAAGGCCCGAGGAGACCAGTGTCGATAATGAGAGCTTCTGACCTCAGCACCTGTTTCAGGATATAGGACAGTTATCACTCCATGGCCATTTGGAGGACAAACACAACAGAACATTAGTCATGGTATGGTTTTCTAGAATGGCCAAATTTTAGAAATACCTTAGCTCTACTGGTTTTATATGTAAGTTTGGGGAGTGATAAATGCTGCCTGTTCCCTGGTGGCTCAGTTGGTAAAGAGTCTGCCTGCAATGCGTGAGACCCAGGTTCAATCCCTGGGTTGGGAAGATCTCCTGGAGAAGGAAATGACAGCCCACTCCAGTATTGAAATGGTAACCCACTCCAGTATTTTTGCCTGGAGAATCCCATGGACGGAGGAACCTGGTAGGCTACAGTCCACAGGGTCACAAAAGAGTTGGACACGACTGAACGACTTCACTTCACTTCAAATGCTGCCTAAATTTTTCTATTAGTACTGGTATGGCCTAGCAGAAAGAAGTCCCTCTTTGGACCTGAAAGAACTGAGTTTGAATCATGCTACTTCCCAGCTACTTGTCCTTGAGCAAGTTGTTCAGACTCTCTGAACCTAACATCTCTCCTCTGTAAAAGAAAAGTAGTAATATCATTTGTATATGGATGTCTTCGTTTTCACTTGGATCACAGCCTTGACTAACTCAATGAAACTATGAACTATGCTGTGTAGGGCCACCCAAGATGGATGGGTCATGGTGGAGAGTTTTGACAAAACAGGGTCCACTGGAGAAGGGAATGGCAAACCACTTCAGTATTCTTGCCTTGAGAACACCATGAACAGTATGAAAAGACAGAAAGATAGGACACTGAAAGATGAACTCCCCAGGTCAGTAGGTGCCCAATATGCTACTGGAGATCAGTGGAGAAATAGCTCCAGAAAGAACGAAGAGACAGAGCCAAAGAGAAAACAACATCCAGTTGTGGATGTGACTAGTGGTGAAAGTAGTCTGATGCTGTAAAGAATATTGCATAGGAACCTGGAATGTTAAGTCCATGAATAAACATAAATTGGAAGTGGTCAAACAGGAGATGGCAAGAGTGGTCAACATTTTAGGAATCAGTGAACTAAAATGGACTGGAATGGGTGAATTTAACTCAGATGACCATTACATCTACTACTGTGGGCAAGAATCCCTGAGAAGAAATGGAGTAGCCATCACAGTCAACAAGAGTCCGAAATGCAGTACTTGGGTGAAATCTCAAAAATGACAGGTTGATTTCTATTCGTTTCCAAGGCAAACCATTCAATATCACAGTAATCCAAGTCTATGCGCCAATCACTAATGCCAAAGAAGCTGAAGTTGAATGGTTCTATGAAGATGGACATCAAAAAAATATGTCCTTTTCATCATAGGGAACTGGAAGGCAAAAGTAGGAAGTCAAGAGATACCAGGAATAACAGGCCAGTTTGGCCTTGGAGTACAAACTGAAGCAGGGCAAAGGCTAACAGAGTTTTGCCAAGAGAATACATGGGTCATAGCAAACACCCTCTTCCAATAACACGAGACAACTCTACACATGGACATCACCAGATGGCCAACACCGAAATAAAATTGATTATATTCTTTGCAGCCAAAGATGGAGAAGCTCTATACACTCAGCAAAAACAAGACTGGGAGTTGACTGTGGCTCAGATCATGAACTCCTTATTGCCAAATTCAGACTTAAATTGAAGAAAGGAGGGAAAACCATTAGGCCATTCAGGTATGACCTAAATCAAATCCCTTATGATTATACAGTGGAAGTGAGAAACAAATTCAAGGGATTAGATCTGATAGATAGAGTGCCTGAAGATGGACAGAGATTCTTAACATTGAACTGGAGACGGTGATCAAAACCATTCCCAAGAAGAAATGCAAAAAGGCAAAATGGCTGTCTGAGGAGGCCTTACAAATGGCTGTGAAAAGAAGAGAAGCAAAAGGCAAAGGAGAAAAGGAAAGATACACCCATTTGAATGCAGAGCTCCAAAGAATACCCAGGAGAGATAAGAAAGCCTTTCTCAGAAGAAATAGAGGGAAACAATAGAATGGGAAAGACTAGAGATCTCTTCAAGAAAATTAGAGATACCAAGGGAACATTTCATGCAAAGATGGGCACAATAAAGGACAGAAAATGTATGGACCTAACAGAACCAGAAGATATTAAGAAGAGGTGGCAAGAATACACAGAAGAACTATACAGAAAAGATCTTCATGACCCAGATAACCACAATGGTGTGATCACTCACCTAGAGCCAGACATCCTGGAGTGTGAAGTCAAGTGGGTCTTAGGAAGCATCACTACAATCAAAGCTAGTGGAGGTGATGGAATTCCAGCTGAGCTTTTTCAAATCCTAAAAGATGATTCTGTTAAAGTGATGCACTCAATATGCCAGCAAATCTGGAAAACTCAGCAGTGGCCACAGGACTGGAAAAGGTCAGTTTTCATTCCAATCCCAAAGAAAGACAATGCCAAGGAATGTTCAAACTACCACACAATTGCATTCATCTCACTTGCTAGCAAAGTAATGCTCAAAATTCTCCAAGAGGCTTAAACAGTATGTGAACCGAGAACTTCCAGATGTTCAAGCTGGATTTAGAAAAGGCAGAGGATCCAGAGATCAAATTGCCAACATCCGTTGGATCATAGAAAAAGCAATACAGTTCCAAAAAAACATCTACTCCTGCTTCATTGACTGTTCTAAAGCCTTTGACTGTGTGGGTCACAACAAACTGTGAAAAATTCTTAAAGAGATGGGAATACCAGACCACCTGATCTGTCTCCTGAGAAATCTGTATACAGGTCAAAAAGCAACAGTTAGAACCGGTCGTGAAACAACAGACTCGTTCCAAATTCGGAAAGGAGTATGTCAAGGCTGTATATTGTCCCCTTGCTTATTTAACTTACATGCAGAGTACATCATGCAAA